ATACTTATGAAAATTATCCATTAGTTTCTAGAGAAGAAATATTTTTACATGTGTAGAAAAATAGTTTACCTACGACCGTTTTTTAAAGTAGCCATTTCAGTCCAGTTCTTAGAATTGAAAAGTTTCACTTTACAGCTGTTTACTTTCATATCCGCATAGTTTCATTTCATATCCGCATAGTTTTCTCATATCCACACAGGTAACGGACCAATGAGGATCAAGTATTGAGAGAAAAGAATTAAAATTGTAATGCTTCGAACGTCAACTAATCAGCTGACCAGCTGATCAGTTGACCAACTTAATTGTTGATCCGACTTGTTCATGTTTTATTCTTAATTAAGTTGGTGGAAGTCCAAAAATAAATTAAATATTTGCCGAATTGTACCTGATACAATATTATTTATGGTAAGAATGCTGCTAGCAATGTAATATTTAACGAAGTTTAACAAACACGTAATTACAGGAAATCAGCTGATTATACAACAAGTCGTTGCATCTCTTTCAGTGGCAATGACAATACACGAAAACATAACCTCTCTAAAAAGTTATCAGTAGTGATTGTTAGTAATTAAATCCAGATTGATAGTAATTAAAAAACGGTCGTAGGTAAAGTAGTGTACGCAACTCGCGTTAATAGTCTTTACGACACTCGTATAAGTTTTTAAGGCACTCGCCAAGGCTCGTGCCTTAAATTTTCCACTCGTGTCGTAAAGACTCACTTAACGCAATCGTTGCGTAAACTACTATTATCCAATTAAATGAAACCACTAGAATGAATGCATCTTTTACGGAAACCAATGAGGGCTTTGAGAGAACATTTGAGTAAACAGTTTATACTAGGTTGTTTTGAAAAGTGGTTAAATAAACTGTGTAATTCATAGAGAACGAGTTATGAGCAAACTAACAGTCTTCTCAAGCCTCTCTCGGCGGGAGGTGATTAGAGTGGTTGTTCGGTTCAATTAGGCTGATTAAAAAATTACAGAAAGTACTCCCCATTACTGAAATTAATTGTGACATCTTCACTCCAATTTATATTTCTTTAAAGATGATGTGTATTCTTTGTTTGAAGTTCATTGTTGGTGATGGTGAGTTAATGTTGTTCAAATGTTTATTGCGGAAATTTTCCATCACGAATGTAAAAAAAAATGTTGATGTGTATTGTTTGTGTGTTTTTTTTTTTTTTTTTTTTAGAAAAATGCACATAAAGGGTGGTTTGTTTCTTTGTTGACTCAACAACAGAACCTCGAGATTAGCTAATGTAATGTAATTTTATAATGTAAGTGATAGAATGATCTAATGCATAGAAAGTTATGCTTGCCCTTGACCTTTTTTTGGATCGATGGACATTCAGCTGAAGGTGGACTCCTTCACTGGTTCTTGGCGCAATTATATGGTTTAATTTTTTGGGCCTCATGTACATAAGTTTCGCGCTGTAACCTCTTTATGAGCTGTGCTCAGAGTAAAGCAATAATGAAAGTAATTCAATCAAGTAATTAAAAGTGTACAGAATAAAACCCCCTAATTTGCCCACAGCTTTACTTGCAATAAGCACTGCAAATATCTTCCAAAACACTTATCCTTAAACGAATTGAAAATGAGTCTTAAAATGCGCAAACAATCTGAGTCTGTCTTAAAAAAATTGTTGTGGAAAATTTAACATTTTGAAATGGAAGATAATTCATAATTGTTTAAGCTAGCAATTTTGGGGAAAATAATACATTTGGTTTAAATTTTTGTGAAACTAATGGTGTCTCTTAGTTTGACAAGTATATTGCAAATTCTTAGATTAAATTTACTAATTTTTTAGATATTGAAGTAAAAAGTAAAAAGTTGAAAAATGTTGTATGGACAATATTTGCTAAGACTGTAATCAATATCATAGTACCAGTATCCCGTCTGCTATTATTGTGTTGCTCTACTCCAGCCAATCCAATCATGATGATAAATGGCTTGTTTACGCTCTCACTCACCCACAACACATGTAGTAGAATCTAATAGGCTTTATAGGGTAGATTGGTTGATTTCAGAGTTCATATACATCAAACAATACGATAGTATAAATTCCATGTTGCTGGTGAAGTTTGATACATACTTTGCTATGAAAGTTGGCCCTGAAGAAATTGGCAGTGTAGCTGATTGGCTCACAAGGTTTTGAATCCTTAAAAATTGTTTCGCCAAAAATTGTTTTTTTTTAAGGAAAGATTGTGTTGATATCTTATGTGAATTATCGGTTAATAATGCTTTGAACCAATAAGAAAATTACCCATAAGTTTTTAGAGAAGAAATATTTTTACATGTGTATAAAAATAGTATATCCAATGACATGAAACCGCTAGAATTAATGTTTTTATATTGGAAGATGGTTCAAATATAAAGATTCTGTCAGATAGTATAAGGGTGGATGGATAATTTTGAGGATGAACCATTAGGTTTAAAATCACGTGTCATCAAATCAAGGGTTATTATGCATCGATTCTTTCATTTAGTATACAAGTGATCCAGAGCCTTTAACATTATGAAACTTTTCTCGTTAAAACCCGGATGAGATATATTTTGGACCTAGATACTATTTGTATGGTGAATTATGAACTAATAATGTTATATAACAAGAGATCATTTGAAAAAAATACAAATCCTGGTTAACTATCTACCTCTTTTTCCAATTCAGTTATTAAGTCTGATGATGATTGGATTGTCCAATCAAAATTGAACATCACTTATACTCTTTTATGTATGTCTTTTATGTCTTGAAGAATAGATAAAATCTTATTTATGTTTTACTTTCCGTACACAACGTTCACAAGAAAACTGTATAAATTGTTTAATGGTGTTGAAAATAAAACATAAACGTACAAAAGAAATTAAACTACAAACATCCATGTTTTATATGCACATGAAATTAAAATAAACGAAAGATAAAATTAGTGAAATTAATGAAATCGTTGGCATCAATGATCAAAATAAATCAAAGGAATCCTTAGTCAATGTTTTTGTGATGCTAATAATTATATTCAACTTGTTAGTACCATAATATTTCACCGTTAAATAACCTTATGATATTTAGGTGTTATATAAACAGCAATTCTGTCAGTTCAATGGACGTTATTTATAATTCACAACACTTTGTTGCTTTCGTGGTTGTTTCCTTTCAAAGTTTTCCCATTTGTTTCACTTCAAGATTCAATTTTAGCATTTTGATTGTGATAAACGAGATATTTTCTCATTTTCAGATGTAGATTTTATCATGGATAGTAACTATTTACTATTTGTAATTAATATGGCTTTATCTATATCCATAATAATACTGCGCGGGTGATGGAAATCAGAATACATTTGATTGTTTCCTGTATTCTTCTCGATGAAAGTATTTAGTATGGAAGATTTCCAAACTAAGGATTACCATTTCTCACAGTTACTGTAGTGTACTTTGGTTCTTTACAAGGAATTTCTTTGCTCTCTATTAGTTACTGTAAATAAATTAAAATATAATAATTTAATAGAGGTTACACTAACACCAAAACAAATGTATATAATAATGAAAAATAGGTATATGAGATCATTAAGACAAATGAGAAAACTTAAAATACAATATTCTGACTAATGTACGATATAAATTGATCTAAAATTAAATTAAATTGTTCAATTAAATTTTTAAGTACCCCAAAGTTGATGTGAGTAGTAAGCATATATAATTATCCATATGTTTACCCAACATGGTAGCAACATGAGGGTGATACAACTTTGTGAATTATAACCTGGATATTATGGAAGATGAGAAATCTTAAGTGAGGACCGTGAAAGATGGCTACAGATGGCGCTGCAGGTAAGGTGTCTATTTTTAAAAATGAATCTTACAGTTGTATGTAAGCTAAAACCCTGACACTGATTAAGAAAGACCTTGCATTTTATCTGTTTGACAGTTTTAAGCTTCCTAGATGATTTACAGTATTTCAATCCAAAAAAATTCCATCTATTGTATTTCTCTATACGATCGAGAATCTTTAAACCCCAATATGCACACAAAGAGTGGAGACACGCTCCTGGCGACCCTGACCTCGCTATCACCTCCTTATCATTCAAGGTCATGGGCGAGTCGACAGGACTGCCCAAGACAAATGGCTATCAAGACAAGTTATGGGCAGAATTTGCATGATACAACAAAAGTAATCGTTTCATGCGAGGAGATTCGCCACATCAAGTCGCAATAAATGTCTAATCTGAGGAGTTGGGTTTTGTCAAAGTGATTTACAACTGGTTTGGTTGACTTTGAAGGAATTCTCACGGTGTATTTTGAGGATGGGACCAGGAAAATCAAAAGTAGTAAAAGGTAGGATTTAGGGTGTTGAAGGAGCCGGCTTTATTCACCAAACCCATAACAGGTTCTACTGCTCCTAACGTAAACCTTAAACACATTCTTTTTTGGTTTTTGGATAAACTAAACCATTATAGAGGGGACAGCTTATTTTTATAGTTACAATTCAATAGGAAGATATGTCATGTACTGTAATAGCCATGTCTTATCATGAGACCTATGTTAATAACTTACTGTATTCCCTGTATGGGATATTCGCTTAAAACAAACATGGAACAAAAAATGGCTCCAAAATGGCTTGAATTATGGTTTGTTTAATCAATGGCTCGATTCAGTTATTGTTCTAATAGTAAAATTCTGAAGGTGTCTTTCAATGAACTTTAGTCATTTTCACAATAATAGATTTTTGCTAAATCCATATTTTATACGATGTAGATAACATTTTCTGCATAGCTATGTTAACAATTGGATAATTATGGTGAGTATTTCTGTTAAATGTATAAAATAAATAAGCCTATACTGTTGCACCATACAGTTGGTTACCATTGGTTTTTTATAAAAAAAAAAATTATTCAATAATTGATTTCTCAATATAAGATGGATCAAATTAGAGGTAATTAAACCTATTTTACCGCCAAGATTTCTAAATCCAATATTTACAAGGTAATAAAAACCAAAACCGATTTGTACATTGATTTATTACACTTTACAATTATACACTGAAGGGGTACTTATTTAATCTTAAACATAATGATTTATACCTTCACAGTCACTTTCACCAAAAAGTTCCTCCACTTTTCTGTAACACTTTACAAACTTTATCAGTCTTTAAATGTCTGATAAAAAATCTATTTTGTACTAAATTAAGTGTACATTAAAACATTGGTACGGTTTCCTAGCCTAGTACGAACACAAATATAAAAAGAAAATATATACATATTAGTTAGAGCATCGATAGATGCTAAAGATATATTGAAAATGTACAATGATTATGGCAACGTGAATGGTATCTATCTATACATTCTACAGGACTCTATAGATTAGGTGTAGATGCTACATATTTGATAAAGTTATTTGTTAAATGCAATAGATTGATATAGAAATGTAAGTACTAAGGGTGTAGCATGTTATGGTTTCCACAATAATTGTTATTTTTAGAATATTTAATATTATTTTGATATGAACAACAACATTTTACTATCTTCTATCCTTCTAAGAGTGAGAATATACTTTTAATCTTGAAGTGCTAGTTGGTTTATTGTAAAAACTTTTACTGTTGAAAATTAAAAAGTAAATAAATTACATTTTAAAATATGTAGTAAGAGTTTAATTTTATACCCTAAATTACAATAGTTTATATTTTTCTGAAATTTAGCCTGCTCAAATGACTATTATAAGCACATAATTTATTAATAAAACTTACAGATAAATGACCTATTTTTTTGGATGTGCAAAAATGACATCCTTCAGTTTTTTAAGACTACCTAATTTTGAATCGTTAAACGTGAATTTATAGCAACTAAAACCAAACAATAAGCATGCGCAAGTAATTATCATAAATATATAATCAGGAGATATCTTGATATTGACATTCAAAGTTAATTTAAGTATTGAACTATTTTCTTTTACAGTATGGTTATGTGTAAATCAGTCATTAATTATTCAGTCTTAAATTTAACGTTTTGTTGCCCATCAATACAATTTTATATCTAGAAGTTTATATTCACAAAAATAAAAATAAAAATAAAATACATTTTTGCCGACAAAAAGTTTGAATAGCTCAAGCGTAGGAGAAATGTTATGAGAGACTTAAAAATGCATGTTTAATATATTCCTTTAAATTAAAATCTTTTTACTTTATTTGCTATTCGTCATACCTAAGTCAATTCTAGATTTTACATAGAAATAGTATGTTAAAAAAATAGCAAAGAGTTTTTTAATACAAATTGAATTAATAACTATAAGCTTTCTTTAAAAATTTTTAAATTTTATCACTATCAAACACAAAATTCCAAACCTATATCTCCTGTCAAATAAATCGCAGACAAATTAATATACAAAAATAAAAACTACCCTAATACTATCACAAATGAGAATTTGATTCCAAACTCTACAAGCATAAATTACTAGACAAATACATTAAACGAACTGCGTATCCTTCCCGATCCACGCAAGGTTTGTGCTCAATAACAGGATTTTGAGTCGTGGACCAAAGTCCCACAGTTGTTAGTTGGCGTGGACATTTGTGACGTTAATCCTTTTACGTGTTTTGTGTAAAGTTTGTGTCGAACAGAAAGACGTTTGTGTCGCTCTAGTATCGGGACCAGGAGCGGAATTTCTCGTGTTTTCTTGGACATCTTCCTGAACTCCTGAGATAGGCGCCGAAGTCACAAACCGGAAGTTGGCAGGTACCCATCTCGATGCATCTGAAAAGGTTTAAGGATTAAACTTTTGACTTAAGATAGAACTTGACAATCCTTTCCTAAGAATAAGCTTTACTACAAAAAATAGGTTGAAATTAACTGGATTTTGTTCATGCCAAAGGTTACAAAAAGGAAATCTTAAAATAAGCTCCAAAAGTGTCCGACGTCCTTAAATGTTGGCCAGTTAAACGTTTTTGCCCATCAAACGTATATATATATATATATATTTTTAAGAGGTTGGCGGCCTTTAACCTTGCATTTGCCCGTCCACATAGACTACAGATCTGTGCGTGGAACGTATCCAGCAAAGCAAGGGGTGAGCCGGTACAGTACAAAGGTGAACTTAACTGATAAAAGTTAGTTGGCAGTGACCAGGATCCGAGCCCACGACATCGCTGCCTTGGGCCCGAAGTCCGCGACGCTACCGACTGAGCCTCCGACTCACACTAAACGTGTTTTTAAATGTTTATTAGATTAATGTGTGTTGGTTACAAAAAGAAAACCAGAATTTATATATGATATAATAATCATAACTGCTGCTTACATAAATACAGCCAACTACGATATTACTATCTGAACAGATTAAAACTAAACTATAAAGAGGATTTAAATAAATAACATTGACCAAAGACTGCTAAATACTCGGCGTATACTAATTACTTTTCCCAATCAAAGCTCCCCAGGTACCATATGAAAATGTAACACTGAATAATAATTTAAATAATTATTTTAACGTTGATGAAATCAGAATGTTTAATATTGTCATATAAAATTACTTAATAAGTTAAGAATTTTACAAAAAAAATATGAACTGAAATGATAATGTAGTGATTTTAAAGGAAGATTATTGAATTTTACTTACAATCGATCATTATGGTTGAAATACTCTTTTCCTTTCTTGTACTTTATACAATCTCTTTGTTTGTCAAAACAGTCACAGGAACAGGACCCGTTCGCCAACCTCCTCACTGTAAACTCACTCGGGCATTTACACCTGAAAACATAAACTCCCTTTATGTTATATTCTGTAAATATTCATGAACCAAAAATAAAACACAATTCAACTAAACACATTTCCGTGGAAATAAGTGTAAATCCTTTTATTTTACCACTCCTTTAAGAGTTTTCAATTGATTTAAGTTGACTTTTCAATTAACCCCTATAATTCTTTAGTTAGTTAAAGAGCTTGCATAAAATAACCTATGCATCATCGTTCTCAACATTTAAATAGGTTGACTTCAGGTAAATGTTGTTATTTACATATAACGTATTGCAAAATCTCTAAAATTCAACTCATATTCTGGCTTCGTTCAAGGTAAAACACATTCCGTAGTGAAATGTCCGTAAACCGAATTTTAAATTTTGAAATATATAAATATGCTACATGATTACAACATTAATAGTCAAACTATTTAACCGTGTATCTGGATCGTGAGTATTCTCTAAAGTGCGTTCTTATATCCTTGAATAACAGTTAAATAGTTGCAGATTAAATATGGGCAAATCAATACTTATGTTGGAATCATTGAAAAATATTAGATTCTATATTATTATTCAACAATATTATTGAGCATTGTCACCCTCAAGAACAGACAGCGGTCTTTAGAAGTCAATATAAAGGTTTTGCCGCTTTACTGTATAACAAGACCAAGTTAAAAACATCGAATAAAAAATAACTGAAATAACACGATTTTTAGTTTTGAAATGGGGTAGAATAAGCATAAGCTAGCGAGGTTTGCCTCATTGTACAATTAAGAATCGTGATACATAAGCTATTTTTAATTCGATCTTTTTGACTTTGGTGTAGTTTGATAGGAAATTTCAAATGCTAAATGAAAGTGCATTTTTCATAAAATTTTTCATAAAATAAGCCATTTTTTCTCAATTTAAGTAAAAAAAATTTAAATTGTTGCCTTTTTGGAATATACAACTGGATCAACCTAACTTTTTTTCTGAAATGGATCTCTTTTACATAGTATCTTACTAATATTATAAATGTGAAGGTTTGTGTGTTTGTTTGGTTGTTTATATGTTTGCGTGTTTGTTTGAAGTTTACTCAGGCATTAACTACTGGTCGGATTGAGCTGAAATTTTAGAATCATGTTAGCTTCCGTTCCCGATTAACATATAGGCATACTCTTATCTCAAAGATCCTTTTGATTACAAATTTAGTATGTTGTAACCCTTTAAATTCTTAACAAAATCGTAGAACTCTCGTTCCTGTAAACTATGTTCTTTTCCTATAAAAACCCATGAAAAAACACATAATAAAATTTTTTAGAAAAAACCAACCCTGATCGAAAACTTTCTGTTATTGTCCTTATAATTCTAATCCAAAGTGTACAACCCCTCATTCCTGTAAAATTAAGGTTCAAAAGTAAATGCATCTTTTGTGATTTCGCCTTTTAAATATCATAGTTAGTTACATTTATCGCTTGCCTATGATATAGGTTGTTGACAAGCAAATGGGAGAAAGTATGTGTCGGATTGCTGGTACCGTTTATTTTCATTTATGACAACAGCTTAATAATTTGAACCAAGCAACAACAAAAAGCTGCGATACACAATGAGAACTGTCAAAGTAGGATTGTTTACAGTTAAGTGTATGTATTTGTTTTTATATTGTGTTACTTTTTTTGTTTAGGTGTAGAGGTAGAACATAATAGCTATGGAAGATGTGTTATACTATAGCATTCCGTAAATTAAAAGAACCAAATTTCCTCAAACCGTGTCCTCTCCCATTGCAAACGCAAAGGACGAGTATAATTTCTATAAGCATTTTATACTTAAACGCCAACCCCGTACGAAGGACGGGTGTTCTGCTAGTCTTATAAATATATAAATGGTTATGTAAATAATAGAAAAATTACCGATATCTGGATAATGAAGTAGGAAAAAGTTGTATTCTTGATGGTCTCTTTATTTTTACCCGAGGAATCACTAGGTAAATTATGCTCCCACCTTTTTTGAACATCTTGTACTTACTGAGTAAATCACTGGCAATATTAACAATATAGTTCCTTAACCATTAACTTAACTACTAACTTCATTAAATTACTCCACATGCTATTTTATCGATGTCACTTACTCTTGTTCAGAGCTCCTGTCTCCCCGTAGTTCACTATTCTGTCCGTCCCTTGGCATCACCTCCTCCAGCTTGTCCAGACATTCACACTCCGTGTGATTGTAAAAGGGAAGTTTCTCTAGTCCACTACTGGTACGGCGACTGTGTGAAGGAACTGTGTATGTGGTCTGCAACAAGGAAAATTTCAAACAATTAAAAAGAGGTTGTAAAAACAGGTTAAGCTTATCATAAGGAAAGAGGTAATGTGTGCATGAAAAAATATAACTGCTTTATTTAATATATCTTTGAAGAGTATACAAGGTCAATATAAACATTTGGCTCGCCTTTGAACGGCAAATACCAGTTAAAACTATGGATTAAGCTGCTATATAGATTTATCCTTTTGAATCAGCCTAAACCAGTTCTGATTAGTTTTGTTTGGTTTGTTTGGAGATGTTGTTTACTACTAGTTTTTTCATCATTTAACACACTTTCGAAAACGGTTTGAACGAAAATAATCGAATCAATAGCTCTCCTTTTGATATTTTAACCACGAAGTATAGCACAGATTTTTAACACTGCCCTTACATAAATAAGAAACATTTAGTCGACATTAATGCACTCTTAAACAGATAAACCAACATAAAACACACACCAAGACAGTCTTCAAATTGTACAGTTGACCGAGATGTTATTCGAATCAAGTGAAAACATATTAATGCATCCTTCTGAGTAGTAACAATTAAAATTACCCCCTTTAATTGGGAAATTTAAATGCAGATTTACGTTTTTAAATATACACTGAGATTAATGAACTTTTAATCTAAAAAAAAAAAAAAAATTACCGAAAATAGTGTCCTCTTTTAACTAAAAAAATAGCAGCTTTTTTAAATTTTTACAAAATTGCAAAAATTTCTATCGAAATGTTAGAGCACACTATTTACAATACATTAGTACCTCTTCATCAATAGTACTTGCATTTCTCTATTAGAAAACTGTAGTACTAAATTCAATTACAGATTCGTTGAGGTCAACAGATGTAGGTTAATCACATTCAGCGGTTACTTCGGATACAAAGTGGATCCAACAAGACAATTGGGCCCAGCAATAGTCAAGGACACTTTGAGTTATGAGATATAACTCACCATTTGAAAGCTGCAGTATATAAGCGATAAAATAACGCCTCAACTCATATGACAAGCAGATTTAGTACGACGAGAAATTGATTTTGTAATGGTTTATAAACTGGTCTAAGAGATGAAGAATAGGTTCATGGCTTAACATAAGGAGATTTGTAAGATATTATAGACTTAAAACACTGCAAGAAGACTTCTTCTATCGTAAAATATGACCCACCTGTTTATATGCGGGCGTTGTCGAATGGAATTTGAAGCACCGACTCTAGTTGGTATATTATATTTAAAGATTTTGGCGATTGAGAGGAGTCAACTTCGAAGGAAAAAGCCTCGTAACCAAGATATTACATGCATTGGGGGTTTTACTAACTTTTAAACACTTATGTGACTAAATAAATGAAATATTGAATCTTGAAGAGTAAAACAATTTACGGGTAAACGAACACCAATGTAAATTACTCTAGTTTTCCCATTATAATGGAAAATCATACTATGCAAATGTCATGCACAAACATATACTTACTGTTTCTGTGAACTGTGAATGCAGCATTAACACATTAAAAGTTACAAATTCTAGTCGATTTAGTTGCAAAATTAGTTGTTACTGCGGTAAATAAATAGTACGGTACATGGAAATTTTCTAAATTATTCACATTAATTTATGTGCGATAATTGAAATCATTTCATTTATGCTGATGTATAAACACAGGCCAACTTATTCCATAATATACATGAGCAAATAAAAGTCTCAAAAATTTTTAGTTGAGTTTGGTTTTAGTGGTAGTTATTCTACAACTAAGATTATTCATAAATTATTATTAATTATTATAAATTATTCAATTATTCATAAATTTGGTTTACATTTAAACTGTCTGGATTTACTTGATCTACATTCCCATGACACAATGTTGAACTGAAAGTTGGCATGTTTGACATTAATTAATAACTTACATCTGTGCACTCTACCAGAAGCTATATTTCAATTACGATCACTTTTGTTCTAAAACTTGCTAAAACTGAAACATTATATTGCAATGTCTTTGTCCAATTCGCAGTCAAAGGTGATAGGTATGATTTAGCCAAAAAAACTATTTCTTCAACTCTTTGGTGCCACGTGGAGAAACCTTTACTAACAACAAATTATTTTATGTCAAAGGTTCTCTAAGCAATTGCTGACGTGTTGTCCACGGACACTTAGCACTAGCCCGAAATATTTTTTCACATAATTTCAGGATAGAGGGGTTATAACTTGGATTCAATTCATTGCTGATTTAGCGGTATTAAAACCTGAGATCTAAGAGACCAAAGTCCCGCGCTCTACGATCAGTTCACTCCCCAATTGTTTACTATTGGCAATGGTAGTTTTCTGTTGACAAATCAACTAGCTTACTCATAGAAAACTGGAAAAAATACTCACATAAAAGTACAGTTCCACCCTCTTGGTAGTCTTGGGACCACACCGCTGAGCCGAGCCGCCGCAGCACCCCGTGTCTTCCCCACACTGGTGCAGCACTGTGCAGGCTGGCACGTACAGTTTGCTCGTACTTGGGTACACGTCAGAGACCTTGATCACTTTGGGTTTGGGCACTCTGCATAGCGTCTCTCGGGACATCTGCTTGCTGTGTTTGTACACCTCGTATTGCGCCTGGCTCTCTTTGCTGGTTGAATCTGCAAGAGATAAGGATTCCTGAAATGCTGACAAGTTGCTGCGCTGGCAAGAAGGTATACTCGCTTGCTGGTTGAATCTGCAAGAGATAAGGATTCCTGAAATGCTGACAAGTTGCTGCACTGGCAAGAAGGTATACTCGCTTGCTGGTTGAATCTGCAAGAGATAAGGATTCCTGAAATGCTGACAAGTCGCTGCACGAGCAAGAAGGTCTACTCGCTTGCTGGTTGAATCTGCAAGAGATAGGGATTCCTGAAATGCTGACAAGTCGCTGCACGAGCAAAAAGGTCTACTCGCTCTATACTCACATAAAAGTGAGTATAGAGTTTGAACGTGTGTTTGAACAAGGCATCAGCGTCTTACATGTCTATTACTTAAATCTGCAAAAACGATTACTTAAAATCCAGGAAAATGTTTCTGGTATGTTGCTACCAAAGAAATCTGGTTGTGCTTGTACATCTTGTATTGCGATTGGTTCTGTTTGCTAGTGTCTGCAAACAAAGATGAAGTTTGAAGTAAACGATAACTCCTATAATAAAAAAAAAACAAGCTATATAATTTTAACCCTAAACTGTAAAATAGAATTTGAAATTAGAGTTAGTATTAAGTGTTGGATTAGTTTTAAAGAATTTAAAAAATACGTACACGCAAATTCTGATGTTTTTGCTAAAAAGTTATTATTTCTTTACACATAGTCTTTTTTCTTTAACATTCTTCAATGTTGCAATTGTGTTACACGTAATTTACAAAAACTAGTTGACCGAATCACCTTGTTTGGCAGCGAGTCAAAAAGATTCAGATTAAATCCGACCTAGTTTTAGAAACTGGCGACGTGTAAATTAAGCAGAACAAGACCACCCGTGAAGTGTGAACACTGAAATCGTAAACGAAACAGAAAGGGCGCTCCTGGCGGCGGAGTGAGGCATCACTAATGATATTGCCTGTTTGATCGTGATTTAAGACTGAAGATTATCGATTCGAACCCCAATAATTGGGCTTAATTATTAGTCCTGATTTAAAAAAGTAAATATTTAACAATGGTAGTGATATCAATAACAGAACTGATGTAATTTAATATATCTTTCAAGTGGCTTGAGTCAATACTTTAATATATAATAACAATTTGCACAAATATAGATCCCATTCATTATTTTACTTAATGAAACACTGTATTCTTTGACAATATTATTTCAATGTATTTCAAGCTAGTAAAATGTTTGTATATCATACATAAAAAAACTTTTTCGTCATGTTGACCTGTTTTTAGAAAGAATCGTTATTAGAATCGAAGTCATAATTCAATTGAAAACCAGGGAAAAAACTGAAAACATCTAAACCCGATTGTGCTAAAAACTCATAGGTTGATAAGATATAATATTTTTTCTAATACAATTTGACGTTTGGCTGTTAAAGTTATAGGACAGCTGAGTTTCCTAGAGTCCCCGATGTGAACCATGGTTAAAAATGGTATTAAGGTCATCAACCATGATCATCCTCTTATCCATGATGTTTTAATAGAATTAAATAAGTAACAAGGCTATAAAAAGATCAAGAAATGAAACATAAGGTTCATAAGGTTACTTCAAGTATCTAAGGTTACTACCTATTGTGAAGTTTGACACCATATACTTTTACTTGCAGTTTATGCATGGTACAAAATTAAGTAGCACACTTTATGTAAGGTACAAAAGTAAGTAGTACTGTTTGTAGGTTTCTCTATTACTAACGATGGCGGAGTGTCTAGCGTTGATGGCCTCTGTGGTAAAGTTAGAATGTTTATTGCAGAACATTGTGATTTATTTACCACTAAGCAGAATAGTTTTCTTTGTTGTAAAGCGTTATTTGCAGAACTTTTAGATTAGAAGTCTAGGCAGTTACGATTTACGGTTCTCCAGTTATAACATTTGATCATTTATGTAATATATTGAGCAATAAATTCTCCATCTATATTTCTATCTTGTGTTATAGTTACTAATATTTCATAATAATTTATGTTAAACCTAGATCGTTAATTTAGGAATGTTGAGTCCTTATTGGCTGGTTTGTCCAATTTGAATTTGATGTTTTTTTACCCATAAACTTTAAATACCGTACAGTTTACTTTAAAACTTTTGAATTAAAATGCAACATCAAATAGCCTCAGGTAAAGTTATTTATAAGAATTAATCGTAGCCATGTAAATATAATAACAACGATTGGAATGCTCAATTGGAACCAGCTGTAGCCAAAAAGGACATAGATGACGCTGTGTGTGGGACAAATCCTATATTTTTTTTATTTCATGTATGTTTTACAATAAATTTACCTCTCTCAGTTGATCAATTCAACGCAAACGTCAATGTTCTCAATTTAACACCCAGTTAAAACCAAACAGTATAAAACTTGCTAAAAACTAAAAGCTGAAAAAATTAAAGTTATATTTTCATAGTCAAAGGCTATGCAGATTCTTCACGTATAATTTGACATAACTCAATGAAGCAGCCTCTCATTCACAACCTCCGCCCACTAACGCCACCACCCAGTGATGACAGCTGGCCGCAGTCTGCTTTCTAATCCAGGATGAAAGCCCCGCGAGTCAGCTGTTGCTATGGTAATCTCCTTGGAGATCTATTGTTTACCAAATGTAGGTGTGAATATGCGTCAATGTGACCTTGGAGGTGCTGCATCCACGTGGACCACCGAGGTATCAAGAGATCAAATAGAAGCTACTTCTTTCCTTTGATTATTCTAATTGTATCTGATCTAATCTGATTACTGGTCACTTATCTGATCTGATCATCTGATTATTTATGTCTCATTTAAGCCAATTTTGCAGGACTAGTGATAACTATGGTCATGGATATTTCGGTGGGATTTTCCGATTTAATCCAAAGATTTGGCTGAAAAAACGAATGTAAAAAAAACACATTTGAATCGTATGGGTTTAAATATTCATGTAATAAATTAACATTAGGTGGAGTTGGAGTTAGTTATAGACTTGTGACTACTAAAACCAGATTGATCAGAGAAGACCTTAACTAATCATAAAAATAAATATGAGTAACATAAAAAAAGTCTTTCTTTCCTTAAAATAAATTTGTATTTTGCAAAATTAACAGACTTTATCAAAGAATTTGTTGAAAAACTAGTGTCAGTGTTAACAATAGGATGGTTAATTGGTTGTATACTGGTGATCATTCAACGTCTGCGATAAAATTTACAGCATGTAATTACAAATTGATCAAACAAACAAGACTCTGACCAATCGACCAACAACATCGATTATCGGTCACCGATTATCGATAGGTTGTACTGACTGCATTCAGTTGTACCGATTTCATGCAATTAAAGATTGATCAATTGCTTTTGATGGTATCGATTGCATTCGACCGTTGTATCGCATTTGTTCATATCGTTTACAATGGGTTGTACCGATCACATTTTGTTGGGGTTCGATTAATGTACCATCATATGTGTAAAATCCCCGAACAGTTGAAATTTAATGTGTAAAGGTAAAAAGGACCATTTCTAGACATAGCTTTCACTTTGTAATAAGTTGTTATTGTTAATGTGTGCTAGTTGGTTTTTGATGCCCCCCTGAGTATGGAAGATTGTTCATTGTAGACTATCGCAAACAGTGCAGGAGGCTAGCATTGGTAACATACAGTCCGAGGTAAGTCTATGAGTGATGGACCATTGTATGAGATTGTCGTGATGGCGGGTGCAGATTAGCGCTAGAGACTATTGATGCATCACGATCTTCACTACAGGGGTCACCTGGCTGTTGGCAGTGGTCCAAACAAACAGATCATTGCGTGAAGAAGAGGATCTGTGTGAAGTGGTAGATTATTTGAGAATAATTTAAAACACAATCTATTATATATACTTATTTAATACGCAAGCAGGTTTTTTGTGACAATTACTCCTCCGAAACTACTGAACCGATTGACATGTTTTTGGTGTCATTGGAAAGAGCGTAACGTGAAGTTGTGCAGGAAACTTTCTTTTTAGGGAAATAATTAGAGAGTGAGGCCCTGGGGCCCTTTAAAGTTTCGTATTTCTCCATAAGATTAACATGGGGAAAAATTGTTATGAAACTCCAGCTGTTGCCAGAAATTAAAAGTGAGAAAAAGAAAATATTTGGTTGATTGTAAACAGTCAATAAGTTTGCTAATTTAACAGTTTGCTACAAAAATTTACTGACTTGGTTGAAATTAAATATTTACCATTTTAATTTGGTTTGGCGTAAATATTACATGGAAAAAAGCGAGAGAGCCTGTATAAATTAATATACTAAAAGAAAACCGAATTAACACTGTGCTGCATTACTTAGTAATCATTGAAAGAGCCGATTTTCAAACTATAGAAACATATGAAAGTCATAGAACACCACCAAGGAGAAGAAATAGAAATAATGTTTTTTTTTTTATTTATAATCCTTATTATGGACAACCTAATGCAGCTATGACTAAGGCTATTTGTAGAAAACACACAAAAAAAACAAGATCAGCTTTTGAAAAATGATAAGAAATGACAAGAAAAAAATGATAAAAATGACAAGAAATGTTGATTATATCGACCTGTTATGTAGGCCCTACATCTTGAGCATTTCCATAATCTTTGAGTCGAATCTTAGTCATCAGAAATTATGGATGTTATTTGTTTTAAAATAACGCCTGTAATACTTAGCAATTGCTCGAATTCGAGCAACAGGGACACTAGTTATATTATAAACATTGCTAAAAGTGTATGCTATAACATATGTCCATTATCTAACCAACTATATTTGTACAAAGTTTAATTTTATCAATCAAGAGGGAAATATGTTGGCAAGTGATCTAAATTCTAGAAAACCATACTTGATGAACTCGGTACAATATATTTTCGAAACGGAAGGTCATATGCTTACAATAGGCGTCTCTATGCACCGGCACACCGTCTGAACCACACATGAAGCCGTGTGTGTCAAGTCATAAACAAAACCCAAATACCCGGAAGCTGTTGTAGCATTACAGGAAGTCGC